AGGATTTCTTCAAACAGGTAATTATTCTGGTTGCGATGGTGGATGACTAGCCTCCGCAGAAAATTGTCGACGCAAATCAACACCTGCAACGTCATATTTGACACAAATTATTAATAATCATAATAATTATAAGAAGAAAATAATAACAAAATAATAAAATTTAATTCAATTTAAAATTTAAATAAATTCTTTTAAAAAATTTTTAAATAACACGTTATTAAATTAAATGAATTTATAATTTAAATTAAATTATTTTCTAAATAAATATAAATTAAACAGAATTAAAATAAATAAATTCAAAATTTAAATATCTTTATTTTTAGAATAAATAAAAATTTCACAAAAATATAACTAAATAAATTACACACAAAAAAATATACACTCATAATTTAATATTTACACAGAATTAAATTATAAAATATTAAATTTAATTAAAATCAGTTTTTATATAATTTACGTGAAATGACGTAGCCCACAGCGACTTTCAAATAATTACAAAATATATATATATATATATATATATATATATATATATATAAATTACAGTAACTATAAAAATGAATAAAATTAATTAAATTACACAGATTAATAAAACATAAACATAAAATACCTGAAAGCTTGAATAAATCTGGAACTCTGAAAAAATACAAAATAACCTGAAAAAATAATTTAAATATCTAAACGTTACACAAAATTTAAAAATAACTAAATCATTTTAAACTAAATTCAACACATAAATTAAAAAAAAGAAAACTTACCTTGATTCTCGGAGGCAAGAGTGAAAACGTGAGGAGGGGACCATCTGAGAGGGTAAAAACCCTTATATAGCCAATTTTTATTTTTTTTTACTGTTCGAAGTCCACGTGTCAAATTACCAGCGGCTGAATCTGCGGTCATTTGACACGTGGCAACTGTAATAAATTTTCAACCACCATCTGTGTCGCTATGGCCTATAGCGACATAGTGTCGCTATAGGCCATAGCGCCATCTATTTTCACGTTTTTTTATTTTATTTTTAACTATATTATTTTTTTAATTCTTTATTTTTATATTATCATATAATTTTAGTTACTAATTTATAAATTTATTTTTCGATTAATTTCTTTATTTTATAAATATATAACGTGTA